GCTCTTCTCTTTAGAAAAACCACATTAATGTATTAAAAAATAATAATAACTCCATTGGCTGCCTAGTGGGAGAGAGCACTTCTCAAGTTGGTGTCTACTATCATAATGGAGAGAAGGGACAGACTTCTACAAACTTAAAATTTTGTGTTTTCATATTAATAATAACCTATTTTTAAAAATCAATATGAGAATATCCTGGATCATCTAGAGTCATCTAGATGACAGAGCAGTGTCATAAAATTTCTGTGTCTGAATTTGGTTTTTTATTTACAACCAAGGTAACACCAATCTAGCTGTGTGCACTAACGAGAAATTAACATAGTATCCTTATTACCTAATAAATGCATTTGTACCAAATGAGACCAAATTATGTCAAGGCACACTATATGAATGAAGAGTTCACAGTAGTTTGAACAGACAAAACGGGGAGAATTGAGTCATTATTCTACTCACAGCATAGAATGGAAACCTAAATAAAACAAATAAAAGGGTGGGCTTTATATAGATTATTAAAGTTTGAAAAACATTAATGTAAGATACAGAAACATCCCACAAGGAACCCACAAGGGCAAAGGAAGAGATAAAACAAATAAATTCATGACAAATCTTCTGTTGGCTGCATTTTAATTATAATCAATCATTTCTCACATTCTATCCTGGCTAATATTTGAATTGAGAAGATATAATACAGAGAAAAAAGTGCAGAATGTGATATATATTAATATTGGTGGCAGTCTTGATTTAAAAAAAAAGAGAGGATGGGACTGATAAATAAGATTTCATAACCTCAATTTCAGCATTATATTGCTTAGAAACCCTATATTAAGATTAATTTTCTTCATAAACAATCTTGCTTATTAAAGAAAATATGGAAATGCAGAAAAAGGAAAAAAATCACCCGCACTCTTCTCACCTAAACCACTATTAGCATTTTGGAATATGCACCTGTATTTACTCAATAGACAGAATTCTCTAGTTTTTTTTTTGTTTGTTTGCTTTTCTTTAATATGGTTGAAATCTGAGCACACTACAAACCACTTTATAAGCATTTTAACTTGGAATAACTTTCCTGGATTCAACTCAGCCTCTAAACCCAAAGAGACCACCTGGGATTCTCTGAATTTAGAGTCAGGTGAGAGACCCTAGATATCTTCTGACCCAAATTCAAAATAAACTTTAAGTACAAAGACAAAAGAACGTTTTATCTCAGAATATTTAGTGTTTTTTATAAATTAATACGGGGGGAAGGGCAACATCTTGGTCAGTGAAAGCTACAGCCTATAATTTTGGCACTAAAATACTACTGAGGTCTTTGATTCTAAATAACATATAATCAGTAACAAGAGGATTTTTTGAAGGGAAGAGAGGTAATGTGATTATGAGAACTTGAAGGAAAGCAACTGGAATTATAATATAGTTTACTGAGAGAAGGACACATACTTTGAATCTGGGAAGGTAAGTTATTTCAACTTCAGCCCTAAATTACTTCATCCTATACTAATAAAAGAGAAAAATGGTAATTGGCGTACAAGCTACCCTTTTCATTGGCTAATCAGGGCTATATGCAAATTAACTGCCAACTAAGATTGGCAGTTAACTGCCAACAAGATGGCGGTTAATTTGCATATGTAGGCACAATGCAGGGAGGCAAAAGGGAAAGCAGGAAGAAGCCCCCTGCCACTGACAGTG